GTCGCAGCTAGGCAAGGCACAGGCTAACAATAGGATTTAAGTACATATATACATGGGAAAGAGAATGATTCATCGAGCGATATTTAAGCGACCAGCATTTTAACTAGACAGAGATATGTGCGTAGGCTGTCATGTCATCAAGCTTACACGTTTATGCGAATAAAATAGTGATCATAATAGTACAATGAAATATGCGAATTGGTACTACTCGAATAAGATTTTCTATTGAGTAAATTAGTAAAAGTTCTTAACCAAAATTAACCATAATCAAAATTGGTTGTAGGAGAGTTGCTATGTTTTGTCTCAAGATCTTTAGTATGAAGCAGTATGTGGCTCTTAAGTTTAGTGCGCTTAAAAGTAAGGAATTTACCTCCCAATACAAAATGATTCTGCTAGTAACGAAATGGATGTGTGCAGAAGTTTCGATGATTCTGTATTACTTCTTATAATCCTGTATTTCAGAGTCAGTCAATCGCAACGTACAACCTAGTACATATGTACATCAATTCAAATTACCATACCTCATTAGCACAGAGAGATAAATTCGTCAGGCCAAATCCCAAAATACTAGAGGTAGTGATAGTATTAGTGGTGACAGAAAAGATTAGGTACCAAAGATAAGATCCAAGCACATATAAATTACTGAAATGAAAACAAAAATAGTTAGGAAGAATTTAAAAGCTCAGAATTTGAAGACAAAGAGTAGATGCACCTGCCTCTTTCCAAACGATTTCGAGCGATGTCATTCAAAGCCCTTATTCACTCGTTAAGATAATTATAAGAACACCAACCAGATAGTCTACATCGATAAACATGATTCAGTCCAATATTTCATGGTATACCAAACATACCTCGTTTTATAATTATGTACAGACTTGTCTTCCTAAACGGTTTGATTTAGAAAAATTAGTTACATACAGACATGCAACTGAATATCGAACAGTGTCAGATTTAATAGTAACCATAGATCAGCAGTTTTCACAAACAATATTTCAGAAATTAGCTCGTAAAACTGTTTTTATATCTCAAATAGAATGCTTTTCCGAGACTAATATATTCCTAACACTGCATATTATCAAATCACAGATATAATATGGCAGTAAAATATCATAGAGATTAATGTTGCTGCAGTCTAAATCTTATTGGTACCATGAATTAAAACAACATATCTCGGTCATAGTTATACGAGACGTTTAGCTTGCTGGTCGTTTTTCTTTTTGCTGTGCGCCAAACTGAAGTACTGTCAAAAAAACACAAAGCAGTTAGCATGCGAATAAAACTTATTTACTTTATTTTGTCTAGCCAATAATCAGTCATTATTTACACTCATAAAGTTGTTGACACCATTTGAATTAAATCAGACCAAATAACCATTATAAAGTCAATTGACAAAATAGTTAAACTAAACAGTAAATAATAAAGGTAAAATTCCTTATAAAATTTGTTAAATCATTTGAATAATAAAGTGAAAATAACAAATTGTATTATAATGATAAATACATATCGGATGATTATGTCTATAAAATTACAATTTATAAATAAACATCATTTTAGGCAGAGATGGTTAGTAATGGGATCCAAGACGCTCGTTTCGTCCCATTTAGGATTCGTCAGATGGGTGTATCTGTATCCCAGGGTTGATATTCATTCAGGCACTCGAAGCCAGGTATCACATATGGCAATAAGAAACTGAACAATTATAGTCCTAAACGTAAATCGTAAGATTCAAACAACCAACACAAAAGTGAATTAAATATTGTCTTTTTATTATTACTATTATTATTATTAACATCTTATTTTCATGCTAAACATTAAAACATTATGTTTAGTTTTACTAAACGAACTGTCAGTCATGATCACATGTTAGAAATGGTTTAATAATGTCTATTACCCACTAACTAACTAATGAAATATAAAACGTATGAATTTCATATTAAACAAAATTAACAGATAACTAAATATTGGCAAACAGTTCTCCGTTTCTTCATATTTAAGTTTTATATTGCCGTTTTTTTATTAAATTCAAGTCCATATCTAGACAGTCATTAGGTTTACAGTTCGTGTTAAATTAAAAGAAATAAGATATTAAGACTGAAGTTCTTGAACATGGATCATTCGGTGATAATCTGTCATTTTTTCTATATATCCGTTAATGCCAATCATAATGAACTCAACTGATTCATATTACTATTATTTGAATAACCTTATGTTGTTATTATCAGTTATGATAAATGTACTTAAAAACAATAAACTGATTGAAAGTTATATGATAGATACAATTAAGGAAACCCTAAAATACAATTTGCTAGTGAGCGGTTTATGCTCCTCCATGAGGAGTAATAGACATAAGTAAGTAAAATAAAATTACGCGTCAGACTAACATTCAGCGAATTATGACGTTTTTGTATAATCATTATAAGTTAATAATGGTTAAAGTGCTTTATTTTAGTAGGTAATTGATTTTGACAATCCAAAATTGTGATTTGTTCACACTAGCTGAAACTTCCGAGCCAGACTTGATCTTATTTCAAATTCTAAAATAAAACTGTATTATTTAATACACATCAAACTAAAGATCACGATATCTGTGAAACAACCTTAAAGATCTCCACGATAATCAGCTTACAAATAGAGATAAACCATCCATCTTTGCTTATAGAGAGGAAACTGTTGGTCAGCTAGATAACTATATAGATTTAATAAGGATGAAAGTAAGTCTTCCTGAATGATAGCAATCAGTTCAAGACAGATGTACTGAACACAAATACTACCTACTGCACAAAGATTTAAACAGCGAATAGATTACTTGATAAACGCAAGAGAAGTAGGCCAATATTTTGTGCATAAACCGTGTACAATATATCTCTATTACAGATCAGTTTATATATTGTTAGGTAAAACACAACTGGATATATAGCATTAAATAAATGAAGATCAATCAACTTGATGTTCTAGCTATTTATCATCAGAATGGAATGTAAACAGCTTGTCTCTCTAGTTATAATCATTGAACAATCTAAGTCATTCCTGTAAATTATAATCGCTAAAACAAAAACACTATCAGTAATCAGGCAGAGAAAATCTCCCCACAACTAATTGAGCCAAATTTAAGCAAACTGTATCAAACTAACTAGAACACTAACTGGAATTCTTCTCCATGGTTATACTTCAATTCCTTCAGTTAACCTACTAATACAGATGAAGTCAAAAATCAGCATATACAAACAGACTGACTCATTGAACCAAAGATAGCGCTATTGTAAAATTTTCTACCATAATGACTGTTTTTCGATTTGATTATAATGAATGTCAGCACCAAATACTTGTACTGTTCATACGATAAACCGTTGAACACCGGTTGTTGAGACTATAATTTATGGACGACGTTCGAGTGAATCTGAGAATGTTAACCTACTAACTAGGATCAAATGAGGGTTGGAAATTAGTGTGGGGAATTAGAATTATGATTTACAGTTGATGGTTAGGGTTAAGAATTTGATTTAATGTTTTTATCACGAGATGACATCAACTGAAATGCCAAGACACTATTTAGCCAAATGGACAAATGAATTTCGTGCCAAAATCCAAGTTCTGTTATCTTATCTCTGATTGGTTCAAAAATTATAGACTCGCTCACCTATTAATGCTATGAATTTTGATTTGATTTTTAGAAACATCTCTGTACTAAATCATTCTTCATTTTCATAATACCAATCTGCCAAATACTTAGACAATTTTTACGCAACTTTTTATTTTGAACGTGGTGAAAATAAAATCAAACACCTTAAAATTATCACATGTATTTCTGGTTGCCTTCTTCTTGAATGATCTTTCAGTTTATCTATGCTCGGAAGCTTCTTATTGATCTCTTGATAACCTCTGGTGTACGATAACCTAACTTGGTTTGAAATTCAACCAACTTCGTGTTGATTCTAATAGGATAGTGATATGGCTTTATAATTATCAAAACAATCTAAGGTATTATTGTACATTACAAACGATAGAACAAAGACTTAATCAGTGTAATGTGATTCTTCATCGCCTGAGATGGTTGTGCCGCGCATTGAGTATGCCTGAACACCGATTACCACAACGCGCAATGATGACTAGTGTAGGGGATGGTTGGAAGAAAGTTAGGGGAGGCCAAACCAAAACATGGCATCAGTGCTTGAAGTTACTAACTTCTGGTCTGAGCCATGTGAGTAGATGAAAACTACTTGGTTAGGGTCCGCATAACTATCGTAACCAATGGTTGGAAACTCTGGGTGACATGGCTCAGAATCGATCACAATGGCGTCGGTGTATACACTCTGTCTTCCCTTAAACTAAGAGATTAAAATCGCTTCATATCTTTCTTTCTACGTACTAAATCTTTCTTTCTGTACTATATCTCTATACACAATCTTTCTTTTATATATTACCACCCTTAACTAAACTACTCCTATGAATCCGGTGTTCATCTTGCTGTGCTAATATGGTATGGGAACTTGGACCGATGCATATATGTGCCTGGTCCTACGCTGTAGCTGACTAACTGACTATCAGTATATGTATAAATATGAACCAGATCAGCAGGAGAATTTATTTGCAAATGTATGATAAAATGTTATATACATAAATATCGTTGGTAAATAATATAAAAATAGAAATGTAATCAGTAGAAATTATTGATGACTTCCTATCGCCTTAGTATAAAAAACAAAACAAAAAACAAAGACTATAGTTCATTATGAACAAAAATATGAATAAAATCAAATATGAAAAATGACTGTAAATGCAGGATGATAAATAAAAGAAACTCAGGGTTTATCTTAATCTTAATTTCAAAATTTAAACGAACTATTTCACAGTTGGTTCAACGCCTAGTTCATGGAAGACGACAATAAGAAATATAATATAGAGTTTGTAAAATATTTCAACGATTGAAACTATTCAAACAATCATAATTACAATGAATAAGTAGTAAATGATTTTCTATTTTAGGAATTCCATATATAATTTTAATCAAAATGTACAGTAGATGAATTAAATATAAATTTATCAAGAGGTCCATGAGAAGTTACTGTTGTCGTCATGGTCTTCGTTGTTGATATGTTACTGTTTTTGGATTGTTTAAATTCAAGTTTTTGCGATTTCGCCTTTCTTCAAACAATATATCATAGAAAAAAAAGAAGGAAAAAGAGAAACATGATAGGAATTTATTAGAGGAAAAAAGTAATTTGACTTAATAAAGATAATAAAGCAAATCACAACATTGATTCAAGAAGTTGATCTCAATAACTGGGTATGAATAATATGAAGTAAAAAAATGTGTAAGCTTTTTCAACTTGAACTGAAATGAATGGACAGTGTAAAGGCTTGGCTTCGAGATCATTCTTTAGGCTTCGTCTACCAATCATCCGGATAAACATCATTAAATAAATCCTAACGGTACACAAATTCAGAAGGCAACATGTAGCGCCTACTACAGTTTATTATTGGATAGAGCAGATAACAGATTACAAACACACTAAGAGAATTTGGGCAAAAGAGCTAGTTTGTGCGAGGAAGCGAATATTGAGGTGTTATATCTTAAAGGCTGATTTCTTGATATACCGCGTATAACAGAGCACTAGAACACCAAAACCCCTCCAAGTCGCAAGAAGACAGAAGACTAACGAAAGAAATATTATTCCAACAGTGTTCATTATAGTACAAAATTGTCAGGTATTTATAGTTTTTAGTAAGAACGAAATCATCATTACAGTCCACCAACCCGCGTTCATGAGGTTATTAGGATTGACCAATCAGGAGGCTACACGTTGGAATTCTAGAATATTCTTCTGAAAGGTGATTGTATGGAATATCTTCGGCTCCTTCTGAGCCTCCTAGAGCTTCTTCCAGTTCACCCGTGGTCCGTCGTCACATGAGGCGAACTCAGAGTCAAATCGACTAATATATATATATATATATATATATATATATATATATATATATATATATATATATATATAAAAGAATGATTTATCGAGTGATATTCAACCAACTAACCTTTAAGGTAGAATGAGGAATATGTGGATAGGCTGTCATTTATCACCAAGCATATATGTTCATATACACATGATAGTAATAATATCAATACAAAGTAATAGACAAATTTTTACTGTTCGAATAAGACTATCAAATATGTTAAATAAGGGCTCGACAAAATTAGGCGTTAATAAATGTAGGAGAGGTTCTATAATAGAAACAATATGATCTCAAAGTTAAACGTAAAAATCACGGTCATTCAGTCATAGTCAACGTATGGTTTGAGAAAAATGTGATTCATCAACTTCTACAGATATAAGTCCATAATTATGGCATTTTACAAAGGCCAAAATAAGGCATGCATTAATGAATTTGACAATGTCTGTCAGAATGAGGGTTTGTGGAAATTGTAGTGATTTTAATAGTTGAATTCATGAGTTCATTTAAGCTAGATCACCACTGAGAAACTGGAAGAATTGGACGGCCATTTCATCCTAGTATGGGACTCCTGAGCAATGCTCATTTACAATCCTGCACACGGGATTTGAACCCAGGGCCTTCGGTCTCGCGCGCGAACGCTTAACCTCTAGACCACTGAGCCGGCATCCAATGGTGTTAAAGTTTAACTTCGACCGATTCACGACATTGCGCGACCTTCCACTATTTTCTTCAGTGAGTAACTGCCTCACAACAGTTATATTTTAAAATTAGCCAACGTTTGCATCTGTTACGACATAAAATCCTCAAAATTCTGTTATATATAAACTATAAAGGTCAGAATGATTTTAAGTGTCAAGTCACAATCAGTATAATAGTAATATGATAAAATGAAAAAAAACCGTACGAGCAAAATGCATAGTAGGAAAGATTCTTTTTGTTAATTGAGGTAATAATGCTAATAGCAATCGTAATAATAATAATGATAATAATAATAATATCGTTGTGTGAGTATAATATGCAATAAATGGGGTGTTATCAAGGTGCTTACGATAAAAAAGGATCCATGTGAATTGGGGAAGATGGATGTGGAGATTAGAAAGAACATAATTAAAAAAACGGGAAGTTGGTGAGAGGCTTATAGTATTCAGCATAGGTATCTAGTGATCCAGTCGTAGGTCAAGATAAACTTAGAGGCTGGATATGTCTTTTCTGGATATGAAACAGTTGACATTTACACTTTATCAATTAGTGTAATGATTAAAAGTACTCAAAGAGAATAATTAAATCATAAACAACAAAGTTAGATGCAATTAGGAAATATGACATCCTTAATATAAATTATCATTGAAACATGACTAGTTACTGAACTGTTAAACGATGAATATATTTAATTAAATTCAACAAATTATCTTACCGAATACCAATATCATGTGATGATGAATTCAAGTGATTAGACTGTGATATAGTAGTTGAACAATAATCTCTATCAGTCAAAGTCTCTTTGACTACTTCTAAAATAGTTGATCTATTTAAACACTCATCCAAATGATAATTGAACTATGAATAGAAACAATTTTAAAATAATTTGAATTGAAAACCGGCAAAATTAATATATAATGATAGATACAGTATATTCATGTAGAAATATAAAACTGAATGTTTCCGATTACTGCTTATACTGTTACTACCTCTACCACTACGGGTTTGAATCGACAACTGCATCTCTGTGCTAATGTGGTATGGCAACTCGAACTGATGTACGTACGTACGAAGTTCTACGTTGTTACTGACTGACTGAGTGATAAAACTAAGTGTAATTACCATTATACAATTAAAAACTAATGAGAAACGATTTAGAATATCAATTAAATACTGAAGTATTTACAAATAAATTATTATTCTATTTCTTAGCGAAATTTATCGAATAATTGTGGTATTTGGTTTTATTTTCTGTAAGAAACAAAGGTGAAATAGATTTCCGAGTGAAATGTTGGATGTTGTGATGGACGATGTCCAAAATCTAATACTGATACACAGTATGCTACCTGCCAAACCCACTCCCAACTGACTACTTGAGCGAGAACACAAGAGTGAGAAAGTGTATTGGATTACCGAATGAAATGCACAAATACTAATATATACATATGTACACCATTCTATCCTTAGGGAATTGACCCATTGACCCCAATGAGAAGCACTTGACCTTTAGATCACTTCTCATTGTCATCGGTTGACTTTCTAATTAAATTACTTCTGACTGGCTCTTCAATAAGTTTATTTAATCACTTAAATTTTTATGAATATGATTTTACTTCCTAATGTTAAGCGTTCGCGCGGGAGATTGATAGGTCCTAGGTTCAAATATCGCGGGGCGGGATCGTGGATGCGCACTGTTGAGGAGTCCCATACTAGGACGAGACGGCCATCTAGTACTTCCAGGTTTACCATGGTTATCTAGCTTCAACTGACTCATGAATTAAGCTATAAAACTACTGTGAAAATATTTATTCAAATTTAGGTGAAATTCTTTCAAATAATTATAAAAGTTCAGTAATCTGGGTTTACTCAGATTTATTAAAAGAACTAATGGTCATCTGTTTATATGACAAGGACATTTTCTTAAAATTGAGTGGAAATTCAGCAAAAATGTCACGCGGTGCTACGATTTAAACGATAGCTACAAAAGAAAGATAAGGACAAATTTGACATCAGACCATGAATTGTAATTCATAAATTGTTGTGTCTTGTTCTTGGGGTTCAATATGGCCTAAGACGTTACAGATCTAAGAACGTGAAACGACTGGACTATTGTAATATGAGTGATTCTCTTCGGAACTGACAACAGTCAATTATACTCAACACATCAAACCTCGACTGCTAACACGGGAAGATGAATTGCAGGTAACATGATATTTGTGTTAAAACAAACAACTCAAACAAAATAGGTCCAATTTAGCGAATTGAAAAGATCATAACAACTAATCAAAGGACAAAGGTAGTGAGAAAAACTGAATTCGTAGGTGTGAAAGTGGTGATTGTTCCTGAAGAGATTTTAGTTTTTCTAATAAAATTTGACTATTCGTGCGACCACCTTAGCACGATTACTTAAACTAACTTTAATAATTCATAATATTATAGCACTGCAAAAACAAACGATAAAGGAATGTGCATACAATATAAAGCATCCACTAAACCAGTCACAATTGACGGAAAAGATTTGGAAGATGTAAAAACCTTTACATATTTGGGCAGCATCATTGATGAACAGGGTGGATCTGATGCAGATGTGAAAGCGCGGATCGGTAAAGGAAGAGCAGCATATTTACAACTGAAGAACATCTGGAACTCAAAACAACTGTCTACCAACATCAAGGTCAGGATTTTCAATACAAATGTCAAGACAGTTCTACTGTATGGGGCAGAAACCCGGAGAACTACGAAAGCCATCATCCAGAAGATACAGGTGTTTATTAACAGTTGTCTACACAAAATATTTCGGATCCGTTGGCCAGACACTATTAACAACAACCTACTGTGGGAGAGAGCAAACCAGATCCCAGTGGAGGAAGAAATCAGGAAGAAGCGCTGGAAGTGGATAGGACACACATTGAGGAAAGCACCCAACTGCATCACAAGACAAGCCCTTACATGGAATCGTGAAGGCCAAAGGAGAAGAGGAAGACCAAAGAACACATTACGCCGAGAAATGGAGATAGACATGAGAAAAATGAACAACAATTTGATCGAACTAGAAAGGAAGGCCCAGGACAGAGTGAGTTGGAGAATGCTGGTCGGCGGCCTATGCTCCATTAAGAGTAACAGGCATAAGTAAGTAAGTATGTGAGATAAATGATAGTATTCACAAAAACCTAACCTTAAAATCAAAAAAATGATAAACATTTTTTTCTACTTCATCGCTTTGTTACTTATGATGATTATAGTTAGATCACATTATTATTGTAATTGATTAAATAAGTTGAATATTTGCCAATATATTATAGTAAATTTCATAGACAGACTGGAATGTACACTAAGTTGTTTAATGATCAATTTATGCAATGAACTCTAATGGATTATAAGAAGGAATAACACGACAGAAACTTGTTTATTGTAATATGTAAAAGCAATTTAAAAGTTTTCTTTTATTGACACAGTTATTTAAATAATTTATCAAAATCATAATCTATGACCTTGATTTAAACAAATCTGTTAGAAGTAAAGGATATTTTGTTTCTTTGAAAACAAACAACCAAACAAATAAACAAATTCTTTAAATATATTTGCTTAAATTAAAATAAACTGACTAACCTTATCTTCTGAAGAAAATTGAAAATCTTTATCACAGACAGGACATGTAAAAAAGTAACCAGTGCTGTTATTAGAAGATGAAGCTGATGCTAACAATGATAATGACGGTTCAAGCGATAAATTTAATGAGATGGATGAAGACGGTGAACTAATTTCATTATCTCTAGTTAATGAAGAAGATTTAGTCCATTGTGTAATCTGAATAATTTGAGCGATAAAAAATATGAAAGTATCTATGATAGTTAATGAACAACACTGAATGGTTTATTGATCATTTAGGAAAAAAAAGTCAAAAGAGATGAACAAGATGGTCATATCTCTTTGAAACTGGCTACTTTGATATGTTCAAAGATTAAAATACGTTTGATTGAACTCTGTGTTAAATTTTATATAAAGAATCCGTCATATAACTAATGAGATGGTACATTGTAGTTTCATTTGTATAATTGTATGAATTTTGAATAGAAATCATAAAATACTTCTAATTAATCATCTTATATCCCAAAGTTCTAAGTGGAAGCCCAGGAGAAGGAAGTCACGCAAAATATTACGTATATACATTGCAATAGAGTAAGTGATGAGTCATAAGTACTGTAGTAGATGAAACAGGATGAAGTTAAAAATGGGAAGATAAACCAACAATTGGCAGATTTATAAACTGAATTATAACCCAAGTGCACCACTTACATATTTTATACTGAAATGAGTAAAATCTGGTTTGTATAACTGAATAAACAATGTGAAAATATTGCCTCAATCAGTGAGCAATATGAAAACCAATCATGAATCTATTTTTCAGCAACAATTTTGAAATGCGATACCTCATCAGATAATCTGCATCTACCAACACAGCTCAAACTAACAAATAACTTAATGGATTGATGCTGTCTTGGTTTGGCCATGGCGAACCACACCCACACCAGCAAGTAACCTACGTCAAGGTAGGCAGTGGTTAAACTAAGCATAACATAAGTTCTAATCATCTCAGTCTATGAAGGTTTACAATCTCATTAACCAACACTATGCTTAACTTCAACACTGTTTACGAAACGCAAGAAATACTTAGAACACATATAGGATCAAGAACCTGAAGCCTATACGCATTTTCTATGTTTAAGTTCATGTTTCACAGTAATAAGGTAATAATAGAATGGACTTCTGAGTACCATACTCGCTCTCTTTCTGGTAGAAAGACACTTCATCTGTAACGCAAGTTGGTAAACAGACGGTAATGAATAAAACGAAAATTATTAATACTACTAATATTGGTTCGATTTCAAATAAGAGTTGACCATTTAATAAATGTCACCACTCTAAAGAAAATATAATAATCAGCCCAGTCCAACTTTTGTAGTTCATACAATGTTTAACACATGAAGTAATTACTATGATAGATTATCAGGCTATCACTTAATAAACAGGTTATAACACAAGTGTTTTATTCTAAAGATTTTCATTAATAAACTTACCAATGAAGAAGAATTACAACCGACCATTTTCTTTCGATCATTTTTCTGACTAGATTTTGTTAACTTTTTCAGTCTATTTTTTGTTGATTCAACTGATTTAGGTGAAGATATCATGTTATGCGATTTAATAGATGTTTCAGTGTGTAACGGAGTTTTAGAGATTGTACTAGGATTTTTTTCAGGACTAGTATTATTGCTTGTTATTGCAAACATAAAAGCTTCCTCAACACTACGTTGACGAATTTGTGGACACATTTCCACTGGTAATAAGTTGGACATGCGTAAGCCTAGAAAAATGTTAACAAAGGGAGTACAAATTAATGAGCTTTTTTTCTAATTTTCAACATTTTTTTATTACCAAATCGACACAGAAAAACGTCTCTCCATCGATTTATTTTAACCGTTCTTGTTTACTAACTTTCAAAAACTACGGAAGCATTAACTGTTCATCTGATCATCAAGTTAGAGGAAGCAAATAGTCTGTACATACCTATACGGCTCAAACGACGATCAATGATTTTATTGACTGATGCCATGTTTTAGTATAGCCGCATCTAGGTTCATTTCAAATTACTCCTATACAAGTAAACATCGTCCAAAAATGGTCCGCATTTCCGTCCTTGATGGAGCTATGAGTATGCATTGGTGAAGTTCCAAATACTAGAACGAAATATGTATGGGTTTCAATAGTATCCTACTTGATGTAAACCTCACATAAAGAACCTTCAATAAACTAAACTAATCTCGATAATCCCTCACAATCAGAACATTTATGTTTTGCCGTCTTCCACTTTTTAAGCCTATTATTTCTGTGATCTCATTTATTTATTATTATTTCGAAATATCCCGTACATGTAAGAGCTGATTCCAAGTTTGAAAAAACTATATTTTATCAAATTTGAAACTACAACTCCCTTCTTTCTCTAAATCTGTGAAATTAAGCATAGAATCCACGCCGTGTTCAGTATTTGTCATACACAATACTTCACTATAAATAAGATTTTTTCTACTAACAATGTTTGTTAGTTTATTTGAGTAATCGACTGTTAATTTCTAGTATGATATTTGCAGATAAAAGTATCATTTCTTTATCTATTTATTTGAAGATCAATATTTGAATGGAAATTTCTTGATAAAATTGGAAGTTTAGAGGTTGAGCGTTCGCGCGCGAGATCGAAGGTCTTGAGTTCGAATTCCGCGTGCAGGATGGTGGATGTGCACTGCTGAGGTGTCCCATACTGGAACGAAACAGGTGTCCAGTGATTCCAGGCTTTCAATGATGGCCTAACATCGATCGGTTCATGAACTAAATTAAAATATTTGTCATATTGAAATGTTGCACGTACATTATTTTTCTTTCAGTGATGTGATAACTAGTTTGAATAATATTTTAAAATAGCTTGTTTTGTGCGCCATGAAACTATGGATGTTTTAATCTATGATAACTTCACTAAATTAATCTACGCTTAATGGACTTTGATCTTAGAGTTTAAGCAATTGGAGAAAATGGGATCAGTAAATTATCCATTCAATTACTAAATTACATGTTCGAACTCGGTTTAACCTACTTCATTCACATGGTGTTAGCAGCTCTCATCAGTATGTGTGTGGTACGAAACATTCAAGTGTACCTGACTGAAATGCAGCAAAGGAAAACAAGCACTACAGAAACCTATGAAATCCAAACACATTTCCCTAGTCATTTATTGTGGAAATAAGGTTAAAAAAAATAAATTCAGGTCAATTTTATGAAAAAAAGAACCGTAAACTTCTTACCCATAAGACGTAAAGTAAGTGGTTTATTCACAGCTGTATTCAATTTAAACGCTACCATTTCTTCATGCAATAATTCACGACCGAATGAATTGATAATCTCTGTATGATTAGTGTAATCTGGTAGGAGTTGTGATCTTGTTCGAATTTCAAATGTATCTAATTTCATTTTAAGTGTGATTAACTGACCCTTAAATAAACGACAAAAACAATTTTTCATGAGTACAATATATATGTATCTACTAAAGACATAATATTTATAAATATCGATTTTTATGTGCGGAAAAAATAAAATGGGTGAATATTCTTTAAATAAAGGCTGATACTAATAATATGTCATAGTAACATAACTTAAACTGAGGCCAAATGAAGGGGTATCGCTAAATCAATCAAATACTATGTAAGAGTATCATAAATACCGAAGGTTTTATTGCACATTATGGTTGTGTCATCAACACATCTATACTAAAAGATTTTATTACTGGTCATTTTAAGAATGTTAATAACAACGCTATCTAGGAGTTCAAATTCTATAATTCGAACTAAAATACTCAAAATCAACAGTGTTCAAATGCACTTATCAGTTTATGAAAGTAAGACTGATTTATCTAAAAAACATTCGATAACTAAAGCTTAATAGAGAGAATCAAAACATTTTAATAACTTGTCCAGATAAATGAACAGGATTATTAGTACTTGATTAGTAAAACTATATACATAAAATATAGGATACATTACAGGATGTTAGTACTTTTCCACAGTCTAATAAAGAAAGTAATAGAGAAAAAATACTTAATAGATTAAAAAGTAATTTGCAATAAAATCTGAATAATTAAAAAAAGTCTAAAATTATCAGCTTCTAGAATATCTAGACTATATAACTTATCTAAAGTATATAAGAATAGATTAGCTAATCATCCTATTCGAGATGTGTCTGGATCACCGTACTACTCGACTGAAAAGTGGATAACTCACAAAAGTGAGTCAATTCTTAGACAAGTTTGTAAGTAATGTAGACGTTTTCAATAAGATGAGAACTTTATGAGATGATAGTTGGTTATTTACGAATGTACCGTTAATAAGAGACAATAGGTTTTAATTGGAACTATATCGATACTAATGGGATATCATCCTTAGGCATCCCCAGATAGAGGATGTTCAATGTTTACTTAAAACGAGTTATACTGAAATGCATTATAGATAAACAGTTCAGCTGCAATGATGAGCAATATCTCTAGACAGACTGTATAGCGTTAGGTTCTTTAATGAGTCCATCACGAATCGGTTTCATCCTTGACAGCATTGCTATTAGCAGTTTAAAAATTCATTGTTCTGGATTTACTAACAACTCTACTTAGAAATTAAATTTCTATTCAATCATCTTACAACATGGTTTGAACAAACTCGAATTATGTATGCTTTCCTTTTGTTACTATTCTGTGATCTTTTTATTGCTTTATTCTAACACTGTCATAGTGAGTGGGTTATCAACTTCATCATTTCCTAAGAATATCTAGCATACATTTAAACTATCATTTAGTCAATCAAGAGAAAAAGTGATCGATTTTTACCTTACATTATACTTGCTGTCAAAAATGGTTGCTATTGAAAGATGGAAGTTAAATAGTCGCATCTTCAACTAAAAACTCAATAATATCTATCTATTACGACTTATCGTCAAATATACGTTGCGAGACCATCTCTTTTGTTACCAACAAACAGAATGATCTAACTAATATGTTCAAAATCTTCGTTAGTTTTGCTTTAGAAAACGTATAAAAGAAATTTGTTAGAATAAAGAATTCTAATTAGACTTATTGAAGTGAATCAATTCACCAATGAAAACATTCAGAAGAACTATGAACGGAAGTAATTTAAATTATTATGAAAATTACAATTATCAAAACTACTTCGTTTCCGTCATCATTTGAACGACATATTTAAAGATAATTTATAGTTAATTGCATAAAATTATTTTATTAATTTGTTAGTTTGTACCAAATTTACAATCAAAGATTTATTTATATATATTCATTTGAACATATAAACGTTGGTATAAGGGGGCACCATATACGCCACAAAATAACAATGAGGTTGTGAAGAGATAGAGAATATAAAGTGTGTATAATAAAAAAGAATAGTAATGAACAGGAATTAGTGTATGAGAGTGGAATAAAAACGATAATAATAATACATAACATCATATCTATTGAATATGTTAGCGATTGTTTGAACTCAGTGCTCAGTACTCCCTCGATTCTACGGCAGACCCAAAATACACAAACCAAACATTCCACTAGCTTTGATTGAACTCAGTGTCTCAATAGATAATGTCTTGGTGTTTAAAGCGAAATACACTGAGTTTGAATACCGATATTAACATCAACATTAAACTATAAGTGTATCCAGATGATGAGTCCCAGGCAAGACAAAACAGGTGTCCTGGATACGACTGCTAGACATAGTATATCGGTTCTATAAAACAAATATATTTTATATTTTTTTAATCCTAAGACATTTTTTTCATACAAAGAAAAAAGGTTTAGACTGACACTTTCCAACACTGGATTCAGATTTAACGATTTAAACACGTAGTGATTGCTGAAACATATAAAGGCACTAAACGTGACATTATAGGTAGCCATGAATGAACACATTTTTGAGGACTCTCAAGTTTTAACGAGACGGTTATTCGATATTCTACAATTCTATATAAATTTCGAAATCATGCCGATCCATTTCGAAAGAATTTATCAACTAATTACAAAAATTGTTTAAAATTAATTTCATTCAAGCATATTTTTATTACGTAAAATATATATACAATTAACCGAACAACAGATGACTACCTGTAATCATGTCACTATTAAGATTCTCATCTGTTCATTTCATTAATATTTAAATAAACAAAGATTAAATTATTAAGCAGAGACATACAAATAAGAAATCTTATATCATATCTATCTTATTTGGGACTCGTAGGCTAGATGTGCCTGAATACCGGAGTAGATGTAAACTCCATGACTCGAACCCAGCACTGGTCATTTCAAACGTCATCGCGTTATTCACTTAGCTACTGAGTTCAGATAGCTACTACCTTGTGGAATACAATGAAGTTTAATTTATTTATATTGGTTGTTTGAATCTTCCCATTGATGTTTAGCACTGAAAATGATAAGTCACTTTTTCGCCTATGTGCATACTGTGTGGATTGCCTTGATATTGCCATCAAGTTACAATCATTATAAGCAGAGATGAATGGTTTATTGTAGCCCTAAACATCGTCAAGAGGATTAAAACAACGAATACAAATGAACTATCTCTTCTATGTTTCTTGTTAACCATAATTTTAATTTGAACCAATTGGATTTGACTCTAGTTCCTACAAATAATAAATTTCGATTCATTTACTTAAATACACAATTGCTTATTTCTAAATCCGACGGTCGTTTACTACTACTAGTAATAGTAGTATCCTTATTGATGCATCAGAATCTTCAATTTTATTAAGAAATCAAACTGTTCTATGTCATATCTATCTTGCTAACCTCATTTGATTGTTAACAATCACTAAACCAATACATTTTCATCTAAATTTTCTACACAAGTATTTTGATATGTGTATTTACAAAATTTCAATATTAACCCGAGTTGTAAGCAACTAGAGATAAAGTTGTTTCTATTTTAATTTATCTGTTAACCAAAGAAATTGAATCTATCACAAATAATTACAATTAGTTTACAAATAGAATATTAAATTTTCTTCGATTATAAATACAATAATTTGTAAATCTTAACTAGTTAGAGACAAATAAAGAGTGTGTAATGTGTATTTCAATACTCAAAACAGTTAAATGTTTCAACTCAAATAGTTTAACAGATTGATCTATACAAAGATGAAGAAAATTTGCAGCTCAAATGAATGCTTTGGATTATTCTCTGAGCTATATAGCTAAAGATTTCATTATCACTTCATAATATCATCAATGCCTACTGTATGCAAAAGTGAGTATTTTAGTTATTCTACAAGTATTATATCCACCATTATATCAGTTCGTTCTGAAAATTTTGTTATTAATCGCCAGTCTTCATAAATTTTGTCTTTATTTATTTTACAGTTAGATAAAATGTATTTTTCATTTTACCTCTTACGTTGTGATTGACCGACCCTTCTGACATTTTTTTAACCCATAATATACACGTCTTTGGCAAAATACCACTACTCGCTTTTTCACAAAGTATACGAGGACAAAAAGCCTGATTACCGTGAATGTTCAGTTTCAATGTAATAGTGAATATCTTCAAGATAGGTTTTAGACTTTTTATAAGAGCACTTAAGAATATCAAACGGTTGACATAGATAATCAGATTAAAAAAATCGGAAACAGGAACGATTTCAATAAGATTTGCAAAGCTAGAAGGTAGATAGTTCAGAAATTCAACCAAGCCAATGTATATGTTTTATGCAACACTTGATTGATGAAAAGTCTAGGGTTAGAATAAGAACAAATTCCGAAAAGAGTAACCAGACAAAGAAAATATCAATTTATGAAGCCAAAGACTTGTGAAGGAGACCATGTTTTCTACAGAGCGTTTGTTGAAGGCTAACAGATGAGCGATTGCAGATAGTTAGTTAAAATAGCTCAAAGCATTTCACAATTGTGTAATTATTGAGCTGTCAGTATATGTTCAATATATAAGTTAAAAAGGATAACATCTAATTCCTTAATTAATACTTAGTTCAAAATCTCTCTCTTCTTGTCTAATTAATTTGTATGATGTGTAAATCAATCACAGTAAACTGATCCGAGTAATCCAAAAGGAGTCACATTGTTCAGTCTCAAAATCTATAAACTGTTAACTACATTAAAATAATTGTAAGCGTCAATTTTAGGTGAATAATACCCTGAAACAACATCCAACAAATAGTTTCCGAATATAGAAGAAGACAGGATATAATTCCGACCGACTAATCATATATGATTAAAATCCTGTGATACTGCATTATCACTTCCCTTTCCTATTTATATATTTGATTCGTCCTTTCACCTTAATAATTCATCAATTTCGCATTTTATTCTTACCTCTCCAACTGTATATTTGAGACTTGTTTATGAATGAATGCTTTACTTCTTTATGAACGTCTATGTCAAGGAAATGAGATTTAAATCATTTGATAACGTATTTCATCTAGATATACTGTTAATATCTTGCTTTAATTGCTTGTCTTAATTACTGATTAGCTCTCGTTACGCTATTTTGAACCATTGTTATATATTGAGTAAAATTTCTTGAAAGTCCCATAAATAGTCGTCATTGTTATAATATCTGTGTGTATTTATTGTACCGCGTCTTTGCACCTCTTTGCAATATATAAGCTGGATTAACAAGTTTCATTTGAAACACACGTCAACTTGAGTACTGAGGCTTTTACGCGTCACCTCCACTTAGCCTTGACAACGTCAAAAGTATTATAAAATGACATACTGCATTAATTTGATATAATTTCAGATTTCATGCAGTAACCGAGACATATTAAGATAATTATATCACCCTGAAATGTAGTCTTCATAATATGATTTTGATGAATGTATACGCAATTAATCTGTCTCACAAAATGTCTAATTTCATTTGAAGGAGGTAACCAAAAAAGGCGATTCCATAAGTACACATTACGTTCCCGATTATAAACAAATATAAAAAAGATAATTGAATCTACATTTATATGAAGAGGAAAAAATCTATCAATATTATCTTTGTTATGGATGCTGAGGAATAATGTGCCAATCATTATCATGTTAAGTCTAATGATGAACATTTCCTATTGGCCGTTATTTATTTCACTCGTTAAATATTGTACAGATGTTGTTTTCTATTTTTATGGTACGATGTGGTCTGTTTGGTTAGTATATAAATAGAGTATGTCTGAAATATAATGATTCATAACTCAGAGGCTGTGACTTGCGTTCTAGACTCAACTGGCTGGGCTAGACAGGGAAGCGGGACTCTAGGTCGTCCTTACGTGTTTTACGTGTCACTGATTCGACCGACAAATATGCTGCGCATCTAACCTGCAGTCCACACGTTACAACAATCTTCACAAAGGGAGTTTCGAAACTTGAATATCCATAGACCTATATGTATTAGTGAGGTATTCAAAGTGTCAGTAACAGTTCTATGATGAAATTTTATTCGAATTCACATTGTCCAATCCGCGATGATGTCAAATGACTTAGTTCAATATTAACATTGAATATACGAATCATAAAGTTTTTGTTACACAAATACAGTATTAAGTAATTTTTCTAACAGTAATACTACGTAAAATGTAACTTCATTATTACACATTTTCTTACTTTGACATGTTCCTCTTTTAAATCAGTTGATAACATTTGAGCAAGTTGTTCACAACGATGCATTAATTCATTTTCATCGGATGTATCTGAAAATGTTCTAGAAACGTAAACACCAATAATAATAGTAAGTAACAACGATAATGTGATTGATAAACACAATTTATAACATTGGAATTTAAAAAACAAACATAATTCACCATATTACCATGATTGTTTTCAAGTGGAATATTATGGATAATTGATGTAGAGAAACTATATCAGTAGTAAAATCTTGTCAATAAGAATACAACTCAGAGTTAAAACAACAATTTAACTGGGTACAAAAAGAATAAACTAGAAAATACTTTGACAATCAGAGGATAAACAAGGAAATTTTAAATTAACGACTAAGCTTAAAACAAATAATATTACTGTTGCTACGGAATAGCCTAGGCATTCCAAACATAGTGCAGAATAATACTATACTACTTATAGAGAAATACTTCATCAATATCATCATCAAATGGAATCAGCTAACAAGGCTAGAAATCTTATTTTTAACTGGAAAAGAAAATGATTATTATACACAGCACGGTTCATACATACTTTGCTCACTAATCCACTCTGGTTGAATAGATTATATTTATTTATTATTGTTATTACATTATGCGTAATCATATTCACCAAAGCTTACAAGCAACTTCGTATTAGAATAGAAGTGCATTGATTAAACCGAATATCCTAATAAATCAATAGGTTCACATATTTCTCATAAACACTTCCAGGAAAATAGTTGCTCTAAATACATTTTGCTATGAATAAATACAAACGATTTAACTTATTAACTAAATACGAATTAGGTAGTAGACTTTTTAGTTATATTTAAAATGGCTATCTTAGGTTATATAAATCAGGTTCCAAAAATGACAAAGATATAACAGTGTTCAAACTTACGATTTATTATAAATAAAAACAATATATTTGTAATATCCCAATGAGTAGAAAATGGGATTTTCTGACGTTTCGTGACTTAGTGTAATTCACTTCTTCAGAGAATAAATAACCAAATTAAAATTAATCCAAGTTTAAATAGTACAACGGAACAATGCAATAATAATATTGGATCAATCAAAAACAGGTCTGAACAAGTGAAGAAGTGACTTACACTAAGTCACGAAACGTCAGAAAATCCAATTTTCTACTCATTGGGATATTACAAATATATTATCTTTATTTATAACAATCAACCCAATGCTCAATTTATTCGAAATTATCAAATCAAACCTTGGTAATGACACTTACGATTTATTAATTGTAAGTCAACTGATAATACGCTTCAAGCATAACTTCACACTAACAAATCATAGAAATGATTAGTTTAGATTAATAAACCAATGAATGTTACCAGTCTGGTAATATTAAGTATTAAAACTAATGATAATGTGAGAATGAGAGATGAATATTTGCATAATCTAATCAAACTATCTATATTTGCAAAGAAGTGTACGCAGATAAACTACAAGCTAACAAACGTTCTATAAAGAACTTACTATCCAAACTAACCTTTCTACACTCATACTCTTTCTATTCAATTCTACTTGACCTTGTGCAGAAGGAACGATATTTTCTGAATCATTATCAATAAATCCAAAAGGTTTATTTGACTTCTCATCAAAATGATTTTTTACATTAATTAACCAACGATCATCAGAATGTCCTAATGCAATACGCATGTAATAAACCATTGATATTTTAGTGCTTACATGCCAGAGTAAACCACGTTTATCAATTAAATCAGCACATGTTTTAATTCCAAAAGCATCTAGTCGACGTTCTGTAACATGTCCAATCCCTGGAACCTATAACGGTAGAAAAGTGATATTGAATATCGAATTTACGAAATGTTGTTTTTTAAACAAGCAGTCTAACAGAGTGACTTGATTAGTTAATGTTTGGTAAAGTGGACAAGTAACTGATACTTAAAGACTATATATGTGGCTCGATTTCTCTCGATCCAAACCTAGGTATACAAAATTAACTCTTGGTTCGTCTGCCACTGGCACGATGACTGATTCATTGCCATTCATCTTTCCCTTCATCCTCGCTCTCTCCTTTTTCCAGATATTCAAAGTTTCCCTTTTTTTGACGCCTAACCTTTACAAGCATTCTTCATCTAGCCTACAAACTTTAATTTAAACACAATTACACTTTAACCATTAATTTTAGTCAAGTTTTATTGTTGTTAAAATTAGTTCTGTCGTTCTAAAACTGAACTTCTCATCAATCTAACCATTATAGTTAATACATTTTCTCATTTCACATTCGATTATTATTATTATTATCACAATTATTGTTCTCAAAGTTAAAACGACGAAATGATTTTAACCAGACCACCAGTGCAAATCTAGAATCACTGGATGACTATTTCGTTCTAGTATGGGACTCCCTATCAGACATCCAGGAGTCGAACCCAGGACCGTCAGTCTCGTGCACAAACGCTTGACCTCCAGACCATTGAGCCACCATCCATCGGTATCAACATCTAGCTTCAGTCAGTCCATGATATTGCTCAACCTTCATTTATTGTCTGTGGTGGATAACCGTCTCACTCGTCGATTCCCACTGCTAAGGAGTCTCATACTAGGACAATACTGCTGTCCGGTGCTATCAGGTTTTCAATGTTATTCTAGCTATTGTGTGATTTAAACAATGAATATTCTACGAACTTCACAAATCACAACTCTAATATTACTATTATTATCGTTATCATTATGACTTTTTCCTTAATGTTATTTTATACTCACCACCATTTTTTTAAAGTTTGAAAGCTATATATTTCAATTGGTAAAAGTAATTCAACGTTGTATACACAATCTAGGAGTCAGCTGAAGTGAAGTGAGATATGTACAAATCGAAATGAAAAACAAGTCGATGCAACGAGACTTACTTTTCTCACAGGCATAGTTTGCATAAATTTATCGACAGCTTCTAATGTATTAGCGATTTCATGTTGCCCACATGGTTTTATCCAATCGGAGGCAATTTTTGCAATCAATGTATTCGGACCAAGACCTTAATTAATAATATGACAAGATTAGTTATATTCAATGTTATTAAATATAGATGGTTAGTTTTATTTTTTAAACATAAGTAAAATCATGCGACTATGATTCCAAAATAAGATTACACGATCATTCACAGTCGGGTGTGATCAAATTGAACCATGTTCGTTGAAGATTTATCTAATCAAATAACTAACAATAAAGACTGAACTACATAAAGAACTAGTAAGTAAGAATATTAACTCACCAGCACTACAAGTAAGACGGGTGGCACAAAAAACACGAAATCGCATTTCTCGAACAGCTTCCCAAGCTGATAAACCAAATATTCGACGACCAGATTTACAAAGTAATCCACATTCAATGCATACATCTAGGTCAGGATCAGAGTATTTCGGTTTTATTATACGTACAGATAGCTTATCAGATGATTTATCTGTTTCTTGACAAGAATTAGAATTACTCTCAGAATTATCATCTATAAGAATTTCGGATTGGTTATCAGTGCAGCTACTATTCAAATGATGAGATTGTGGATGTTTAGAACGTGACCGACAACTAAAGTGAATGGAAAAAAATGGGGAATAATCCTTAGTTAACGACAGTTTTGAATGGCATATCATAAAAGTAACGATGAATATTTGATATAAATAGTCCACTAAAAGGAATATTTGTGATAATACAATAACAATAGTAATAATAACGATAATAATAACTCTACCTGGTTGGGTAAGCGACAAATGAGGTTAATTAGGAGCTCTATACTTACCTAAATGTGGAAGATTTGTAGCTCAGGTGGATAATTTTTGTGGAGTTTTGTTCTCTGAGCTGGATGGTTTGGTCGCGGAGCTTTCACCGTTCTTCTGCTGATTATTTCGTTCAGAATAACATGATAAGCTCCATGATTAAACCATCCAGCACGGAGAACAGAACTCTACCAAAATAGAGACCAGTAAACACCGGTCATTTGTTCCTTCCTAGTACGAGACTCCTTAGAAGTTGAGATTTAGATGGCGGTTGGAGGTAGTCAACAGGAAACCCTGGACCCGGGTTTCGTGCTACTTGGCACTCATCAGCAAGGTGTACCTATAATCTTGAGGGAACTGGTGTTCCCTGGCGGATTCGATCTCATGTCACCCAGCTTCACAGTCAGAGACGTTACCACTGAGCTATCCGGGCCGCGACTGACCTCCTGTAGGACTGAGATGTAATCACAATTGATTGATCACTGGGTGGTGATTAATGTCATGCTTGTCTAGTCCTTATTAGTGCAGATCGAATGCTATCGATCATGTTGCAGGAGGTTACAGCAGGTCACCTAGACTGGTGGCCACATTTCAACATGATCGATAGCATTCGATCTGCACTAATAAGGACTAGACAAGCATAACATTTATCACCATCCAGTGATCAATCAATTGTGACTCCTTAAAAGTGTTCATCTAAACCTTACTTGATTTATCATATTCGAATATATTCCATCTTAAAATTCCCTAATTTTATTCATTATAATATAATTATTCCCTGATCACCTTAGAAAATTTCCACATTAATTATTCACAATGACTATTGTGTAGTAATTGGAAAAGAAAAGCCACATTATAACACTCTTTCGTATAATATCAATAGTAAGAAAAGATGTAGAGGAAGAATATCACGTCAATTCTGAAAGTCTACTATTAGTTAAATTGAATCGAATAATTTTATAATTGAACAAGCATATAGTTCATTATTATAACAGATATAAAGAAGTTATTATGATTTCATTGCTTACAGAGTAACAAAAGTTCATCATAAACGACGATATCAAGTATTGTATAATATGATTTAGAATGGGGGTTTGGGGAGATTGTAGTAATTTTAATAGTTGAACTCATGAGTCGATTTGGGCTAGACCACCATTGAAAACGTGGAAGAACTGGACAGCCGTTTCGACCTAGTATGGGACTACTCACCAGTGCTCACCCACGATCCCACACGCGGGACTCGAACCCGGAGCCTTCGGTCGTGCGCGCAAACGCTTAACCTTTGGACAACGATATTGTGCGACCGTTCACCAGTGTCTCCAGTGAGTAACTGTCTTACAACAGATACGGTTAAACTCCACTGGTCAGGGCTCCTCATTAGAAATCCAGAATTGATTGAAGTTAGACATCAACATCGCATGCCGGCTCATTGGTCTAGAGGCTAAACGTTTGCGTGAGGGATCGTGGATGAGCACTAGTGAGGAGTCCCATGCATGGACAAAACGGTCGTGCAGTTCTTCTACATTTTCAATGATGATCTAGCTTAAGTCGACTCATGAATCCAACTATTATTATTATTTAGTTGTTTTTATTATAAAAATCACTTTAATGTGGTTTACTTATTTTACTGCAAGTTTCATGTGTTTGATTTTAAAGGCTAGCGACTTTATATGGATTGAAAAAATTGAATTAAATGGATCGAGAAGAATAAGATTTGTAATAATTCACAATCCTCCCGCTTTATTTAAATTTATCAAAGAAGCAGGATGTATGGAGTGAATAAATCAGAGTTCAATCGTCTAACCTTTTGAAAATTGAGTGTTTCAACAGTTAGGCCATAGATTTATAACAAAATTTATTGAAATTTATTTCATAAAAATTCTTTTTTAAACAAGACAGTAAGAAGAGATCGTTTTATTCATTATATTTAGTTGGTAAATTGTTAACAGATGGAATGAAATCTGAATAATTTACAAAGTAAAACACATAACAAAATGACTTGACGTAAGAAGGAACAATTTAAAAACCTGTCATATTCGTGATCTAGTGTTAAGTTTTGTTCGACCTAACCTCATATTATCTTTCGTTGATGTGCACAGGATAATTTTCTGCTTCGAACCACGTTAATGTGCATATATAAGTTTATTTACTTTCGTGAATCGGGTTGCATCAGCCGTAAAAACAGAGCACCTTATAAATACATTTCCGACCACTATTATGCATGACTATCAACAAAATACAAAGAATCCAATGGCTCAATATATTGGAAACGCTCGTGAATTCTGATCATATTGTTATCAAGAATATCCTACAAAATCATCTAGACAGTCAAACGATTGGACTTGATTGCATTTGCAATTTATCAGTTCTAACTAGAACTTTGTATAAAAACACAGCACGTTCGAATTTGTATTCTACCACAGATCTACAGCTTTTAATTTTTCAAATTATGAAAACTTGTTTTTAATATTTTTTTCCGATGCCCTTGTCATTTTTATTATTACCATGATGTCTTAACTCATTCCTTTTCTGTTTAGGTGGACGATTATCATTTCATTGTTTTCATTTAACCACTAGACGGTTATGCAACTAGTTTATAACAATTGAAACTTCCGTAAAATACGAAGTAACTACTTTCAATTTTTTAATATACTACTAAATCCACTAAGTCACTGAAAATACGATTGCAGACTTTGTGAATGATATCATAAAAATGAAATTTTTCTTCGTCGAACTGTCTTGACTTCTTACTTAATTACACAATAGGTCACTCTCGATGATTACGTAGACATTACGTTACGCGATGCATCACAAAAATTTATAAGTGGGACTACTTTTAAGTTGAATGACATCATCTTGAACAGTGGTTTTAAACACAAGAACATGGTACAAGTTATAATGATTCGTGTATTCTCGACTAAAAATAGAAAAGGTAGTTGAAATTTGGTATGATTTTAATCAATGACAATAAATATCTTCATAGTTCTTTTTTCATTACATTTACAGAGCGATTTTACAGCCTAAAGTCTATTCTTTATCGACCAGATAGTGAGTCAACAACACAACACACTTCTATTCTGCAACTAAGCATAGATTCGTGTATTAAATTACACTACAAAGGAAATGATACCACCTTGTTATTTACACGTCGTTTTTTATTAACTCATACAGCAGGTATAGAATAATTTAATTGACTTAAGGACACACTTTAAATGTGAGAGTTTTGATAATTCCCCGTAGCTCAAACCGAAATAGATAGGGTGACTGAAAGTTAAACGATTTAAACACTGAGCCACTATTCTACTTCTCGATAAGTGGATTAACGTTTGAAAATTAGAAGTAATCGGTGAGAAATCTAAACTTTTAATTAGAACCCCACAAATTCAGCAAATAATAAAGGTTAATACTATTGACTAAGAAAAAACTTGCATTTTCAAGACTGATACATTATGACTTGATTGAAATTGGGAAATGTTAGAATAATTAGCGAAACATCTATCTCAGACTTTGTATTTTGTTGATCTGATTTGTTTTGCTTCAGCTACAACAACCACATTAGTTTTTTTTTATGTACAATTATATAACTCATTGTGATTTAAAGCCATTTATACCCAATGAAAAACCCTATATAAGCACTAATTCACCATATTTTACAAATTTTTCCGTATCTTTCTAGTTTAAAATTCCCAAAAGGAATATGAAAAAAAAGATTCAGTTAACTAATTACAAAGTGATAATTGTCAACCGTTACAAAAGGTGAATAAACTACCCAATGACCATGAAAGGAATTTTTTTCAAAATAAGGTTGATTTAAATCAAACAAACATACCATTCATGATGGAAAGTAAGTGTGAAGAAAAATATATCAAAGGTGAAAATGAAATTGGAATTAAGGATGCGTTAAAATATATATGGATGAGTAACTTAATTGATCTATTGCTCGATTGAAGATATTAATGACAATCGAGAATTTATTCAACTCCTCTCCTTGATAATATGATTAACAATGAAAATCAGAACGTGCATTTCATCTTATATGGGACTCGTCAGTTGGATGTACTTGCATCCTGGAATTGATGTCCACTTCGGGACTCGAACCCACTACCTTTTGCTTCAAACGCTATCGCGTTAAGAGAGTGATCAATTGCAGTCCTAAACACCAATGGAAGATTCAAACAAACAATACCAAATGAACTTACGCTTCACCCTATTGCACAAGCTTGTGACTATCAGGACTGAGTAGCTAAGTGAATCTTCCATTGATGTTTGGGACTGCAATTGATCACTCTCTTAACGCGATGGCGTTTGAAGCAAAAGGTACTGGGTTCGAGTCCCGAAGTGAACATCAATTCCAGGATGCAGGTACATCCAGCTGACGAGTCCCATATAAGATGAAATGCACGTACTGGATTCCGTTGCTAGCCACCATCCGTCTTTGCTCATATTCTTAATATTTGTGAAGTATTTAATACTTTGAATTTATTTAATATCTAATATCGAGAATATTATAACTGTAATCAAAAACAAACATTAGTGGAGATTTTGAACGAGATAGCTCATAATTGGGCACAATGGCGTAGATGTATTCACTTTTTATTCGTGAAGAGTAAGCGCTTGAGCAGACATAAATATGTGCTAGGTCCTACAGAGCACGAAATCTAGGTACACAGTTTTCTATCATGCTAAACCTAACCGCCTGATATTTTTTAAATCTCTCTGTCTATCTGGTTGCTAACAATGTTACCAGATGGACATAATGACCAATACAAATATTTATAAATAAATACATACGATATGTAAAATTGTAAACACTGAATTTTAAAAAATTACCGACAAACCAACATAGGTGCTCCAGGTGCTGGTCTAGGCCAAAATGTACGTCGTTCAACAGGAAAATCAGAACGGTCTACCAAATGATCTGTTATATCTAGATACGCTTCATCTAAACTGACCGCCGAAAATGGAATATTATCTGATTCACAGGAATTTCGTGCACTCCCAGCAGAAACACTGTATTCCATTAAAATAGATCGTACTACACGACTAGCTGCAGTATACTTTACAAAATCACACGGTATAATTTTCAATTGAGGACAAAGTTTTTTGCCTAAGAATCCAGGTAGACCAGCACGTACGCCAAATCGTCGAGCGATATAATTGCTTGTAGACTAAAGCAAAACATAATGAGAAGTAATCTTTACTGTACACTTATTCTATATCACTTGAAAATAATTAGGACGTTTCAAAGAAGAAAAGTTTCTTCTTGACGATATCATTTTCCGAAGTTGTACAATCATATTTATCGGCGACTTTTATATGCAGCAGTTTACGGTAGAACAGAGGACTTTTACAAAGTTATCAAAGACCAACTTATTCAAGTGAAAGCCAATGAGATATAAAATATTGATGGAGATAGTTGACAAGAAAACCTGGACCCGCGTTTCATGCTATTTGAAACTCGTCAGCAAGGTGTACTGCTGCTCCCATAGAACACAGTTTCACAATCCAAAACGTTATCACTGATCTATTCGGGCTGCGGCATAAGCCACATTGCAAATTAATCGACAGGATTCGATTAGCACTAAGAAAGAGTTGTTATACATGACGTTGGTCATTATCCAGTGATCGGCCAATTGTGAAATTCAGTGAAAATGAAGTGGTATTGCATAATGTAATCAAGTATTGAATATTATATATATATATATATGCCCTCACATGTTCGCGCGTATATAGCCTCTGTCAGGTAAGTCCTATTCACTGCCTTCTCGTGGCAGGAGTGTTGCTTATGAAATTGAGAGGACGAAAAGCGAATGTCCGGCGCTTCAACTAGGTTGGTGGATACGGAGAGTCCACCTAGAGGAGTTGGGAAACCCTCATTCCAAATCAATAGTGGACATGAGCTCCAGGATCCTGAGGGAACAAATGGCATATGAACCTATTGTTGGTCACCGGTTACTATGGAACCGCATCTCCTTACGTTGCTTCACTGCCTTGTGGATCACACCTCTAGATCGAAGGCTCGGGGTGTGGCCCCCCAATAAAACCACATGCTTCGGTTTGGGCACCCGGGCAGTATCCCAGCCCTCACATAAATCGAATGATCTATGTAGCGCATATCTTTTTGGTGCCTCTTTGTACCAATGTTTATGTGTTTAAATAAATAAATTAATAAAATAGTAAATTCTTTATTACTTTTATTACTGATAAACTAGGTATTTGTCCAGTTTACCATGCAGTATAAGATAAACAATCTTTTCTAAAACGTACTAGCATACTGTTACTACCGACAGCAACTGGATGATGTCTAAGTTCGGGTTGATCACGTATTTCAACAGCTGCATAAAATGCATCCATATCCACATGCACAATGATTCGAGAAAAACGTCGTTTCTGCCCTAAATCTTTCAGTATGTGATCTGCCTAGAATGCGAGAAAAATTAGTTGATGGAACAACCAAATTCAATATGAATAGATAATTTACAAAGTAAAACAAATTAGATTAAAAGTTGAGTCAGTGGGGAACATCTAAAATTTTACAAGGTATAACGGCGAGACTATAATTTATGGACGAATCAATGAAAATTAGGATAACAAGTCTTGGATTTCGGAGCGAAATTCATCCAACCGTTTGGCTAAATAGCGTTTTGGCATTTTAGCTGATGTCAGTTCGTGATGAAAACATTAAATCCAAATCCTAACCCTAACCATCAACGGTAAATCATAATTCTAATTCCTCACACTGGTTTACAACCCTCATTTGGTCCTAGTTAGTAGGTCACATTCTGAAAGTCGCTTAATCGTCGCTCAAACGTCGTCCACAAATTATAGTCTCACTGATATAACTGTTAGGAAATCGTACAATCAGGAACACAATGTACATCATTCGAAAGTGAAATAAACAATAATCAATTATTATATTCACGCAATTTCAAAGCTTTTTCTTAAGCATGAAACATTTTAGAAATTTATGAATACATGAAGATATATATTAATTTCTGACTGTTAATCAAAACGCCAGTAAAGTATTGAAAAAAAAGCTTTTGATTTGAGTTTCTCAATATTACAAAAGCGGGGAGGGATCGTGGATGCGCACTGTTGACGAATCCCAAACTAGGATGAAATGTCCGTCCAGTGCTTCCAGGTTGTCTATAGTGGTCTACCTTCAAGTGACTTATGAATTCAATTATTAAATTACTACAATCTCCACAAAACCCTTCACTGATTATAAAAGATGAATGACCAGTACAATTGAGTATCTCTTTTTCTAATGAATATGTTATACATATCCAAGAGACTTGTGCGCTGAGAATTCCATACTATGCTAAACATATAATATTGAATAATTTTAAGAGTTGAGATCATAATTCAACTTAAGCTAATAAAAAAACTAATAAAATAATACTATTATCATTTAACTTTAAAATAAGGACCAAGATGCCGGGTAAAAGTATTAATAACAAAACGTTTTTCATCCAGATGAACATATACTTAGTTAATTTGACAAATTGAACAAAACGCTATACTACTCGAGAAGAAATCTTTTTCCAGGTCGTAAAGAATAAGTAGATTATTTAACTATGTAGACAAGATAAAAGCTCTGTGACGAAAAAAGGAAGCAATGGAAAGAAGTGTTAGTGATTAACAAGAGGAAAGTACTGGAAAATATTGGATAAGGAAGTGTCAACTTCAAATAATTTAAGATGCATCGCACCTGTATCTCCAACTACCGAACTCGGGTATCTTTACAACCTGACTAAATCAACTTCGTAACCAAATTCTAAATTTCATATGAAATAATTAATTGACAGTAAGAGACGATGAGAAAGAGAGGAGAAAATGTACTCACTTCTAATTCACCACTTTTTAACATCGCCGGTGTAAGTGATTTTATAACTTTAAGCTTTTGTTCAATTTGTTGACGAAGAGCTTTTTCCCGCCTCAGTTCATTTTCATAAAACTTTGACCCTTAAATAATTGAAAATTTGTTAGTAAAACTAATTCCTTTGTATTAGTGAACGTGAGTTCAAAAATAAAGTTCCTTACAGTTATTCGAAAGCTTGATCTAACCATGATATCTAAAATATACCCAGATCTGTATTATAAGCGAAGTATATGGTACAAGACTACTTCCTGTGCTGTAATAGAGTAGCAAAACATCTTTTGAATGGGAAAGATATATTAAAAATACAGATAACGGTTACTAAAGTTTTTAAGCATTATAGGTGTCTTCGGAACATTGCTCGTATATCCTGGAACCACCGAGTAAGTAATATGGATGTTAGGAAACGAGTATTAGGTAAGGATGGCAAATCAACTGATGAGGTCTCACTACTTCATCAGTTGAGATGGCTGGGACATGTGTTACATATGCCCAGTCACCGACTGCCCCGACAAGCGATGTTTTATGGTGCAGGAGTAGGTTGGAAGACCAAAAAATCGAGCGAATCCATGAAGTCACTGACAAGTGGACTGAGTCATGTTGGTAGGTGTAGACCACCTGGTTGGGATCCGCGAGACGATAGAGACCGATAGTTAGAGACCTTAAATGACATGGCTCAAAATCTCTTGCGATAGCGCAGGTGCATCCACTCTTTGTGTTCTCCCGAATTCTAATCTTCTGAATTCTTCATTTCCCTTTTCTTCTCTTCCCGAATTTATTTCACTGGATTATACTCCTTGAATAACATATTGAAACCCTAATCTTTCCGATTACTGCTTATACTTTTACTACCTCTACCACTATGGGATTTGAATTAACAATTGTATCTTTGTGCTAATGTAGTATGACAACTTGAACTGATGCACGTATGTATGAAGTTCTACGTTGTTGCTAATTGACTGAAGCATTATTTTGGTTCAATGGAACCATTTAGTAATGGCAAGGTTATTGACAAGAGCGACCTAACTAATAGTATTATGATACTGAATTAACTATGGTTACAGAGACTTGAGTTTAAAAAATAACCCTATTATTTCCCACGATAGGTAGAGTGGCGTTTGAACCCCTATTCTAATGAATGGAAGCTTACTTCTTGACTTAATAGATCACGTTACACAACAAATCAAAACCCCAATTAATGATGTCACTAGTCGCAGACACCAATCATATCAAGAATCCAACCATTTACACTGTAGTTCGCAAGATATTACTATGTAAATTCACTAGGTGAAATGAATCTACATTTGAGAGGACAGCTTGAAATGACATAAGGTTGTAAATGATCTCTCATTGAGTCATCAGTACTTTCGTTAGCTAGGCTATAAATATACTGAATTGCATTAAATACAAAAGAACGAACTCATAAGTACATCTACAGGGAACTTTAGCTTAATTATTCATTGATCTATATAGCCGAATTAGATATCCTTTGACATCCTATGGACTTTTTTATGAATGATATGATATTATTTATCAATATTATGTTGATGGTATTTTGAAGTATCTTAAAGATGAAGTATGTTCATTTCCTCTTATTTTAAACTTGTTACTTATATGTATGATTTGGTCACAGGTATATAAATAATAAAGTGGAATAAGACAAGAAATCCAAAAAATTAAAGAACTGAATATGCCAAATATTCAGTTCGTTATTATTGATATCATAATACTAGAATGAATACTTACAAGCAAATAGTGCATTTATGTAAACTATGGATTAATTATTAAATAAAATCAGGCAGTTAAAAAACTACATAATTTTAACATCAACAACGCTTTTTTACGGATGAATTTGTTATATATCGTCGGATTTCAACACTATTTCGTATGTCTATTTCATCTTACAATAAGTAACTGCAGAATATCTATACATCATTTGTTTCATGAATCAGCAGATCACTAACTATGTCAACGAGTATTTTCATCAATATTTTATTCAGATGAAAAAGCAGCTTAGTGATGAAAGCATTCAACCTTCAACCAACAGGTTCAAATCTTACACTCTGACTAGGGACTGTCAGGTTGTATAATTAACCATCACGTCAAAAAGCAACTTCAAAACATGTACATAAAACTGTACATGGTTAATGATCTACAAGAATTTAATTTCATTTAATGAAAGCTGAAAACTTTTGGCAAATTGTCAAGTGAACAGTTATATACATTCTACAAAATTCACCTTTGGAATTCTCCAATATAATATTCATAATTGTGGCTTTATCTAAACCTTCCATACCAGCTTTGCTCGTACTATATCTACAACAACCTTCCAGATCACCACTCATTTTAGATGCACCTAGAATACAGTAAATTAATAATCATGTGAGTAATTAAAACGTTCCATATATATATATATATATATATATATATATATAGGTTTTCTTTTAATGATAATGAAAGCATGTAAAAATACTTTCATAAAAAACCGTAACCAAGGTTTGATAAGAGTAATTACTGTTATTTGCGATGTCATAATTCTATTATAGGTCAGACCTAACTTCGGATTGTAAAACACTGACGGATCAAACACCCCAGGAGACGGAAAAATATTTTCTCGTATATACTCCCGTACGGTGCATAGTTCATAACTCCGTTAAGTTTACAAAACGCTCTGTGGATGAAATAGGCAGATTAGAATCGGTCGTCGTGCACAACCAAACAAGAATAGTTAGTGATCAGAATTCTGAATTAATTTAGACTGAATAATTATTGACACAGGATTACTTCATTGTTTTCGTTTAATATATTTAGGCTTTTTCCTACTTACTCTACAAATATGCATCACATTAATTTGTAACTCAGACCGAACTCTTAATATTTTCTAGCTTCCTTTAACACACAACATTACGTCTTGTTTGCGAAAGATGAACTTAACAGATTTAGATTATAGATATAAAATACGTTTATTTTTCATGATTGTGATAATTAATTATATTATTCTGTATTCCTTTATAAAACATACGAAACAATATAGGACTTATATAATTCGAGCCAATCCAATTTTAAACTGTTTTCTACTTCAATGCCGAAACGAATATTTGAAAAATACAGTATATATACATATATATATCCTATTCTTTGGTTGAACATATTAGGCGACACGGATCAAAATTGCCCCTTAATGGTATAATCTCGTTCAATCTTTGTTCTGTCCTCACTTGTGTCATTTATATTATATTATACTAATCATTCCTAACCCGACCGTTGTTGCTACCTTGACGTGGTGGTCGGGCTTGCCTATCGTGATGAAGCAACCGAGCTATACTGGCTGGAACAACCGTTCCTCAAGGTCCTACCATGTCAGACAGGTCGGTTGAAGAGCGGTAAGACTAAAAGCAACAAACCCAAGGTCCGAAGGCGAAGTCGTACTGCTGACTGTACAGAGGTGTGACAGCAGTAAAGTGTTTCCTTCAGACAACCAGCATGACAGCGATGCTGCCTTCCCACAAGGAGGGGTGGGGTTAGAAAAGGTCGACCCTAAAAATGCACACCTCACCTTACCTCACGGATTTCCGTCTCCGGCGGTAAGGCCCTTTGAAGAACGGAGCTAACACATCGAAAACCTTCCACGAAAAGGCCGTGCGCGACTGGCCTCAAGCAGTTGTCCCTTGGGCTCTGCAGTCACGCTCCGAGGTCGTCAAGACCAACACTAATCCAATTTCCTTTTCAGGTACCTCCAGAAGAACCCTTCCATGGTGTGGGCAACCGGGAAGTGATAACCGCCCTCATGCCTCTAACAGCACCCAAGATCACTGTATTCATAATCAACCTTCCTCTTCAATTCCTATTATTCCTCCTACATCGACTTTCAACCCTAAACTTCCTCCTTCGGCTTCCTCCTCAAGTGTCACCATAGCCAACGATTCTAGTGGTCAAAACTCTGTCCCAGGTCTACTGAAACCTCGCTCCAAACTACACATTAGAGCTTTCAACGTACGCACTCTATGTCAAATCGGTCAGCAGGCTTCCTTGGCTAAAACCCTAGAGTCTCTTTCCATTGATGTATGCTGTGTCTCTGAAACACGCATACAGGATCCCAGTGTGGTCATTCACTTGACCTCACCTCAGCAAAACGGAGAGCCAACGAGATACACCCTTCGTGTATCTGGTGACCCGATGGCCAGTTCTCGTGGACTGGCAGGTGTAGGCATAGCTCTAAGCATGAGGGCCGAACAAGCACTGCTAGAGTGGATCCCCGTCAACAGTCGTCTATGTGCTGTTCGGCTGAACGGCTACGTAAGAACTCGGAAGGATAGGGACACATGTCGTTGCCTTTTTGTCGTTTCTGTCTACGCTCCCACTGACTGCAGCTCAGATGAAGTGAAAGATGAATTTTACAGAAAGCTTTCTGAACTTCTTCAGAAAGCTAAACGCTCAGACATAGTACTCGTAGCAGGTGATTTTAATGCTCAGATAGGTAGCTTGAACCAAACAGAAAGGCATTTAGGTGGATATTTTAGTATTCCGACACAGCGAACAGATAATGGTGATCGTCTGCTGCAGCTATGCTCAGACAATCGTTTATTTTTAGCAAACACAAATTTTAAGCATAAGGAGAGACATCGTCTAACATGGCGACCCCCTACACCAAACCAACGATGGACTCAAATAGACCATATTGCCATCAGTCATCGTTGGAGAGGGTCGGTACAAGATTGTCGCTCATTCTGGAGTACCTGCTTGGACTCCGACCATGCCCTAATACGGGCACGCATCTGCTTGCGCCTCACTGGACGCAAAAAAGCCACATTAAAAAGACCCGTTAGAACTGAGTTGAGTAACGAGAAAACCAAAAGTAGGTTCCAGGAACAACTGAGGTCACACTTAGGTAGTTGTGAAGACGAGGCTGACCCAGATGTTGCTTGGAAGGGCATACAATCAGCTGTGGAAACAGCAGTGACATCTATTAGTGACTTAAACCACAGAGTTGCAAGGAACCAGTGGATTTCTTCAAGGTCTGTCACACTGATGGATTCTCGCAAACTCGTCCCATCAGGTTCTGAACATGATGAAGAGCGAAAACAAATCAGATCTAGGTTAAGAAAAAGTCTAAGGAACGACCGTGAGCAGTGGTGGGTAACGAAAGCAAAAGAGATGGAAAAGGCGGCGACTATAGGGAACACAAGACAGCTTTATGGACTAATAAAAGAAACTGGAATTAACAAGTCAAGTGTAAGTGAGATTATTTCGGAAAAAGATGATACTCTCATCTGCTCCCAGTCCAGACGTTTAGAACGATGGGCGGAACATTTCAGAGAACAGTTCAGCTGGCCTTCAGCTACTCTACAACTACCCTCCATTCCCATACAATGTGAATGGAACATTGAAGCAGGTCCCCCAACTCTTGCTGAAGTTCAAAAGGCTATAGTTAATCTGAAACGAGGAAGGGCAGCTGGTCCAGATGAATTGGCTCCAGAGGTCTTTAAGGATGGTGGTCCAATTTTATCGATTAGGTTGACTAATATTTTAGCTAAGATCTGGGAATCAGACTTTATCCCATCTGACTGGTCACAATCACTTATCGTCCCAATATATAAGAAAGGGTCAAAATCATCCTGTGACAACCACAGAGGGATTAGTTTAACTAATATAATATCTAAAATACTAGCCTCGATAATTATCAGACGCCTAAATAAGAATCGTGAATTGCAAACACGAGAGAACCAAGCTGGCATCAGACCTGGTCGTGGCTGCATCGACCACATATTCACCATTCGTCAGGTTCTAGAACACAGGCATACTTATCAACGTCCGACGATGGTGGTCTTTCTTGACTTAAAAGCAGCATTTGACTCTGTAGACCGCGAGATTCTGTGGCAGTGTCTGTCATTGAAAGGCGTACCTCAGAAGTACATAAACCTTGTGAAGGCTCTTTACTCGAACACTACTAGTCGAGTCAGGGCTTATGGCGAACTGTCATCTACTTTTGCAACTTCAAGTGGTGTCCGTCAAGGCTGCCCACTTTCTCCATTTTTGTTTAACTTCATCATAGACCTATTGATGGAAATAACACTCTCGTCGACTGAATTCTCGGGTATTGATCTCCTTCCAGGAGGTCCACTTATCGACTTGGAATACGCAGATGACATAGTCCTGTTTGGTGAAAACGCTGACAAAATGCAGAGTCTTCTGGTAGCACTAAGCAACAATGCCAGAATGTTTGGGATGCGCTTCTCTCCCTCTAAATGCAAGTTGTTGCTTCAGGACTGGTCTGCGTCAACACCTGAACTAAGGATAGGGAGTGAAGTAGTCGAACGCGTCCACAACTCCACTTATCTTGGAAGTCTGATCAGCCCTAATGGGTTGGTGTCTGACGAAATCTCAGCACGGATTCGAAAAGCTCGTTTGGCTTTTGCCAACTTACGTCACCTTTGGCGGAGGCGAGATATCCGTCTATCAATAAAAGGACGAGTATACTGCGCGGCAGTTCGTTCTGTTCTATTTTACGGCTGCGAAACATGGCCTTTAAGAGTAGAAGACACCCGTAAGCTACAAGTATTTGACCACAGATGCCTTAGAAATATTGCTGGCATCTGCTGGGATCACTGGGTAAGTAATAGTGAGGTTAGGCGCAGGGTATTAGGGAATGATGGTAAATCAGTTGATGAGGTTATGAATCTTCATCGACTGAGATGGTTGGGCCACGTATTACGTATGCCTGAACACCGATTACCACGACGTGCAATGCTAACCGGTGTAGGGGATGGTTGGAAGAAAGTTAGGGGCGGCCAAACCAAAACGTGGCATCAGTGCTTGAAGTCACTAACTTCTAGTCTTAGCCATGTTGGTAGATGCAGACTACTTGGTTGGGGTCCGCGTGACTTTCGTAACCAATGGTTGGAGACTCTTGGTGACAAGGCTCAGAATCGATCACAATGGCGTCGGTGTATACACTCTTTGTCTTCCCTTAAACTAAGAGATTAAAATCACTTCATATCTTTCTTTCTACGAACTAATTCTTCCCTCCTATACTATATCCTTATTGCAACCTTTGACCTAACCACTCCTATGAATCCGGTGTTCATCTTGTTGTGCTAATGAGGTATGGCAACCTGGACCGATGCACATATGTGCCTAGTCCTACGTTGTAGCTGACTGACTGACTGAATCTTTCCTAATGACGTGCTAAGGTGTGACAACCTGAACCGATACATATTAAAAGGGAAAACCCTGTCTAATATATATATATATATATATATATATATATATATATATATATATATATATATATATATATATATATATATATATATATATACATAAATGAAGAAAAACCAGCAACCAGAGATACCATATGTTTTCATCTCAGTAACTAAATAGTTGGTAAATAAAAAAATTTACTCATTTTCTCGATAACGATATGAAAGATAATTGAGAAATTGTAGTTTGTATCTCATTTGCCACGTACAAGTTTCCGTACTTAAAGCCTTACTGTGTGAAGGTTAAGTATGCAACCTACACCAAGATAGCGGGGTTCGAAACTGTGAAGTGCCGGTTGATATTTAATTACTCTAATCACTGTCACTACACTGTGGCATAATAATTTCCTAACTTGAATGTCAAAGCTTTATCTCTTCCATTTTACACTGTTAACTAATCATTTTATCCATCGCCTGTCTGTCAAAGCAATGTATATTTCTTACGAGTGATATGTAAAAGAAACATATTGATAATTACGAAACTTCGGTAATATAGCTCAGATATATTCATACCTCATGTCATTCTAAGGTGTAGACATTTCAATGTCATGCGTTAGGTTGTAAAAGCAAGAGATGGGGATATTCCTAATTACCTTATTTTAAAAGGTTAAGAATAACCGGTTCCACACAAATGCACCTTACACTTTGTACTCCGCAGAAGTTTTTTCCTTATTTTTGGATCACGCTGCCAGACAATACTCAGTAAAATAAGATACTAATAAACATGCCACACAAAACCAAGTGACTACAGTGTAAAGAAATAGAAACTATTTGTTAAAAATATTAAAAAAGAGAAGTCAAAAAATAGTCTAAGTAATGACAAAACCAAGGTAGACTCCCATTCAGCAGAGAGACATCAAACTGTTTATGAAGAACTAGACCAAGATCACCGCTGGTTTTAAGTGTGAACTAAAACTAATAAAACCTTGAAGCATTAATTTTAGTGATCTCCAGCATCCACACTGGCAAGTCGCGAAGTGAGATGTTAGTCGTTTGTAACTGCAATCACTACAGCCTTCTACAACGAGATTTCTGGCTAGAATAATCGGTAGCACTGGAGGCGGCCTAGATCACAATAACCTCTATCAACTACAGGCAGGCTGAACCCGTCTTACACACTAATACTTATAAAACTACACAGCAGCATGGAATTCACTATTTCCAATGATTCAAGACCAAGGATGGGTGCAAGCACGTAGCTTTGCACTTATTGTGGTAAATTTCACTTCAATGTTGGAAGGCACATACCACATTTATGGATGCTGGCCAGAATCTGGGTAGTTAGTTTACATAACTTTCTGTACGTTGTCCGTAAATGACCGTCAGCAGTTGTTAAAATATTGTAAACTAAGGGGATTCCATCCCTACAAACTACTTTAAATGCAGTTAAACCACCAGGCATGCAACTATGAGGCTGCATAACGAATTTCAGACACAAAAGGGTTGTTAGTCGAAATTCCTAACTAGCATCCAATAAGATGGTTGGGAAAGGTCACGCCACCCACCTTAATGCGAGGCTGGTTGTAGTTTGTAATAATACAAAGATGACCAAATTAATACACTTCACAAGTCGACTAAGTTACTATCAGCCTGAACAAAAAACAGTTGTTGGAGATCATGAGAGATATGCATCAGTATTAAAAACACTAAAATGTATTCATTGGATTTATTTCTTTATTTTCTTTACAATTACAAAGTGCCAAATAAACTGGCACACATTATCAAAAAGCGTTTGAAATTGGCTTGTGATCCTTATAAAGTAAATAATATAGTAGTTAATAATATATGGAAAATAACTTCATAAAACACTCAAATACTAAAGAAGAAACTGTTTAGCCCAATAGCAGTACAACTGATTTTTTTAAAAGAATCCCGTGTATAACAAAAGAATATTTAAAAACCTCGTTAACACTTCGCTCAAAATCAATCGCGGAAATCGATGACAGACTAAAAGAGCTTTGATTTTCACGTTTTATTCCAAAAATGATCCCAAAAAGCTCACTAATCCAGTTTATACATTTGAACACAAGTAGATCTCTGAAAAACCACCCTAGGTTATATCACTCAAGTGAAGGAACTGGGTCATGGCTATTCCAGATTTTCGACTTTTTGAACGAGTCAAAACTCAATTGGGGGAACTGCTCTCATATGAACGGGAAAAAGGGAACACGACCATGTTTAACTCTTAATAACCATTTACGTATAAAAGGGAAATCGTCTTGGGATGATGATTTGGCTGACCATTTTTGGTATGATAACCCAAAGTTTAATGTCAACCATAATACGCAAAAGCAAAATGTCTGACTGTGACAAGTGTTTGAATTCTCCTTATCTGTAGGAATTAAAGTAAATCGGAAACGACAAGCAGAAAATAGTGATTGAGAGATTATGGTCCTTTAAACAAGATACTATCCTACTAGAAAAGCAGAATCAGACGTTAAGAGGACTAATTTCGTCAACATAATGCCGAAATAGAAGTATTAGGTTCTGAAAAAAGTGCCCAAAGTAAGTAGCCATTATATATTGAGGTGGCTTAGCAGTGAAAGCGTTCAACTTTCAGCCAATAAGTGATAGGTTTGAAACTCACTCAATCCACTTCAGTTTGGGCAACCAAGTAGCATAATCAGCCCTCACACTTAGTGAGACTCATCCCCAGTTAAGCTACTTTTTATTCAAGTGGATTCTGTGAAGCTATTCAGTTACTTGATGAGTACAGACGGTGAATGAGTAATTCTTATGTAATTGAGTGAACCACTTTGTGCTCCAAATCTGGGACTGGTGAGCAACGAGGCAAGAGCATACGGTCGGGCTGTTCGAGAACAAATGTTTTAGACGTTGGAACATAAGTGTTCAGCTAATACTAACTAGACCACTTTCCTTCATAGCTGAAAAAGTGGATTTAATAACTAACGAGTGGTTACCTATATTAAAAGACATGCCAATTTCTAAGCAAGATACAAAATCTAACCCACAGAACCCAAAAACATAATTTTACCTCCATCTAAATGAAATAAACAAATATACTTCATACTTGGTTCTTGGTATTAAAGTGTTGTATATATTTAATGCAGAAATATGGAAATTTACATATGAAAAACTGTAGAATATCACGAGTTAAAAATATCAAAATTATGCTAGTAAATCTGAATATTTTGTACAAAATTGTGATGTTAGTGGTGAAATGTTTTATCGTACACCAAAGAAAATGAATCTCCCTGTCTTTGAAACCCTGGATGTTTTGATATCAAACTACTCAACTGGGGTAACTTGATTACTTCATTTCCATTTATGTACACTACGCGCAAACTAGGGCAATAAACTAAGTCTTCAATCGATTCGAAAGTACACAGTCGATTGCGTTGGACAGAAAGGTTGGTTAGAGACGGAAGACGGGAAACCCCACAAAGAGTTATTAACTGGTTATCATCTAAATTCAGTTCCAAAACGGAGATTAAATAAGAGAAAGTATCCGGGATTCGTACGATTGAGTTATTAGAAAAATCGATTTTGGTCATCAACGCATACCAATCAAGATTACGAAAGCAACTCATATCCAGATTATGTAACACCACTTCCCTGGACTGGTCCTCATATGCATGAGCCAGAACATCTAGGGCTGCATACAAAGATCGCAAGTGCTCATAATAAAAAGAACGCTGAGGATCAACTGACACTAACACGTTTAACGCTTCTTTTACCTCTTCATGAAAATTATGCGGTCGAATAAAGCGAAGAAGGCTGACAAGCGTCAACAAAGCCCATTTGTTTTTCGGTTCAAATGACAGCAGGTCACGAACAATATTCAGTTCCCCAACCAAATCTTTTGGATCATGTGAGGGCAAAATCATAGGATTTAACAATCTTAGAGGGTCTAGAGTGACGCGTGTCAGTGATTCATTTTGATGAGAATCCATACAACACTGAAGGGACAAGTAGTTTGCAGAATCTTCAGGCATATTAACACAGATTTCCTGGTTTCCATCGCCATTAGCTTTCCTAATCCAGACTTGGGCTACAACATTCCAAGGTTGACATTGATATAGGTGCCTATCATTATCAGGAGCGTAACGAGATACTAAATCTTGGTTAAGTGGCAACCACCAAACAGCTGATAACTGCTCATCTAGGACAGAGTTCCATCCCCCAAGAAGCTCAGGTGTTAAAGTTATAGAATTAGAAATTGTACCGTCACATGGAAACACTTTTATGGAAACCTGCAAATCTTTTAAAGTTTGCATCAATTTCACAGAGCTGAAAACAAGAACAAATCTTCCCAGCTTCCGTGAAATATACAGTTCCCTTAAATAAACCTTTCTTTCTCCGCGACCCAATAACCACCAATAATAGAACCAAGGACTCTGATCAGCGGGATCTGTGAATATTGCATTGTGAACAAGATCCAGTTCGCCACTTGGTAATGAAAAATCAAACCGAGATTGGCTTTGTTTCTTATTCAACTGAGTCTGAGGATTAAGACTTTCGGACGATGATACAGAAGCGTTAGACGCAGAAGCTAAAAGTTCACCACGATAGTGCCAAGCTGAATAATTGCTCATATTTTTTTCTATGGCAGAGTCTGTAAACTCCAGCTCTAACTCCGTTGAAATACTACCCTTGGAAACGACAAAGCGGCGATAATCCCAACAGTGGAAATTTCTTTCATCCTGTGTTAGGGCTTGGTTACAAAGCTTCAATTCAGATTCCCAATTCGGAGAAGTGTGATTGTTCATAACCCAAGATCGATGATACCAAACAGTATAAGATTTCGGCGAGCTATATAAACAGCGAGTTGTAAGGTTCAATTCAGATTCAAATAACTTTGAAACCTTTTCTTGATCCTCAGAAAAATTCCGAATGAGATGCATTATTATTTCGCGTCTATAATTCCACAGGGTTGCTGTGTCTGGAGATGTCTCAATAAGGGAACCAATTTCTTCCAAATGCACTTCATTAAAGTCATCTTTTTCACGACACAACCAGAGCTTCTCACATTCTTCTGAGAATTCTTTACTTATTTGTTCCTTTTTTAGCTTTTTCGCTCGTTCTTGTTCAGCTGTCTGTATAATTTTAACTCTCCCATGCATATTGTATTAAATTTATTTAAATTAAATAATAGATTGGCGAGTGATGGTGGCTACTCTCGTGAGTTACAAGTCTGTAAGAAAAAAATACAAGAAAACTACTATGAGCCTAAACCCGGAAAACGCATCAATATGCATATTCAAATTTGCATGGTGTCCAGTAGATCGTAACAGGCATTGCTGAGCTACTCTGATGTAAAGGCTGCCTACAGTGGTAACAAACGTTAGAAGTATGCGCTGTGCTCATGATACAAAAGTGATGCACAAACTACCTAGTGGACCAGAAAGTTCAGTTTACGACGGCTAACCACTTATCTGATAATAGAGTTTGAATAAACACACCTTACTACATAAGGGGAATGATGCATGTGGAACTGATCGATGTATGTTGATGGATGTCATGAAATTCTGACAACTGAACGAAAAAGTATGATTTAATGATAATGCATGCTGAATTTTCATGACAACTGTAAACATTCGGCTGTCCACAAAAGACAGTATTTTATTCAAATAAAAGTCAAGAGTTTAAAAAAATTTTGTATCCAGCAATCAGAATGATATAAGTTAGATACATAATAGTGAACACTCACCCAACGTCAGACGCACTGTTGAAGAAAATTTGAAGGCACGCGCAATCCTCTCTGAAAGTCACAAGCAGTTACAGATGTTTAAACAAACACATCGAACTTTACTTCCAGAAAGAGCGACCTACAAGTTACTGTTCTGTACGTGGCTGTGGTGTATTATTCGTAGCTAAATGAAAATAGGACTTCCGCTTCAATTTTTTGAAGTGCATAAATCAACAAACTATTCGTTAACAAAGGAGGTATGATAAAAGATATGAAGAACTGGACCAGTTCTAATGGTTAGAATTCCACTGCGGATTCTAAATTCTTTGAATAAGTCGGACAACGGAGCTGTAGCTTACGTAGAGGTGTAGCCAAACTATTCAAATGCTTAACGGCCTTCCATATCTAGTAACAGCGCATCACCGATGCCTCCAGGCAGGAACCTATGTATATTCACGGTAAAAAAGTGAACAGAATGAAAGTTAGTCCCTAAAAATATATGCTTCAATCTATCCATAACCCAAGGTCGTTTACCAAAAGACAGGAAGAACGCCATAGTAAGTCCTGTCTTCAAAACGGGTACGAAACATAAAGTTGAGAATTACCGACCCGTTAGCCTAACTAGTGTGGTTGCTAAAATCTTAGAAAAGATTATTCGGAAGGAGTTGTTTAAGTACCTCAGTGAAAGCCGGATCCTTTCGGTTTCAGAATGGGTTATTCCTGTCTCACTAACTTAGTAGTCGCTAGTGAAAGCTGGAACGTCTTAAGGACCAAAAGTTACGTGTAGACGTAGCCAACATTGGTTTCAGTAAAGCTTTAGACAACGATCCGCACAACCGTCTGTTATATAAGTTAAGAAATGTCGGGATTGGAGGCAATCTATTGATGTGGATAAGAGACTTCCTAGTTGGGCGCCAACAAAGAGTAAGGGTGAACTGAAAGTTATCTAGCTGGGAAACTTTGCTTAGTGGAGTGCCCCAGGATACAGCTTTGGGGCCAGTGCTATTCCTCTTGTATGTAAATGACCTTCCTCGTCTCCTATCATTATCAGTCTTGCTATTTGCTAACGATGTCAAAATATGGAGAACGACACGACGTAAGGGTGATAGCTTAAAACTCTAAAATGACCTGCAGAAATTATCTGAATGGTCTCAAACCTGGCAGTTGCCGATAAATACTTCCGAGTGTGTTGTGATCCATATAGGTCATCAAGGCACAGATACATACACAATAAATAACACTGAGCTACCTGTCGTTCAGACACATAATGACTTAGGAGTTATAGTTAGCCAAGACTTAAAGCCTAATGCACACTGCCGTACAATGGCCGCCAAAGGTTTTAGAACCTTATGGTCAATACGCAGGGCTTTTACTTATGTCAACGCCAAAACGTTTTTGATTTTGCAAACAGTGTTCGTACGTCCTAAACGTGAGTACTGCATACAAGCTGCTAGCCCATGCTTACAAAAAAACTGTGGTTCTGGAAGAGGTTCGGAGAACAGCAACTAAGCTGATTCCCGGAATAATGAAGCTTCCGTATGATTGTCGACTGCCCAATCTAAACCTATTCCCGTTGTCATATCGCAGAACTAGAGGCGACTTGATTACAGTTTTCAAGTTGCATAGTCATAAATTTGTACCTGATATGCTCCCATTTTTCTTGTCTTCCAAAACAGGACACTCCAAAAAAGTTCACAAGCCCAGAACAAATTACTTGTCAGCTGACTATCGACTTTCCCATCGAATCATCAACGAGTGGAATTCACTACCCCAGCACGTGGTTGAGGCTCCATCCGTCGACACTTTCAAAAGAAAGTTGGATCAACTGAGAGACCTCTATTGCCAGAGTTAACACAGACCATCAAGCCTCCTGTCATTTCCAAACTGAAACTGAAACTTTTGTGCAAATATTAAACGACTAGGTAAAACTAGAAAGACTGGAGTAAAAACGGCATTATTAACAACAAGCAAGACACAGTTAGTTTCTGTTAGCTGCTATCCCATCTACATATTGAATTAGATACCATTAAAGAAATTAAACCATTTGTTTAATAATTGGTTTTTGTTCTTCAGATTTGCATTCATTAAGCTGGGAACCAATCCACACGCTTTGTGTTTTGCAATGTATGGCTTCTGTCAACTAATCGAAAGGCTTTGTAGCGGTAAATAAACCCCTAAAATAAATAGCTCTGTAAGTTTTCGACATTGGATGCTGACCACATGTTTTAGTGGACTCATCTAGCTGAAGGCGCTCGGTCAGGCATCCGCACCAGATCACGTGTGGTAACGCTGTGCTCAACATCTACCGCAATCGCTAGCCAGATTAGATCAGAGAATTCCGATATATTGGTAATCGTCAAATACACTCTTTCGATCTCCTCGACTCTGTCTTTTGATTTCTCTCGGTGGGTACAAATCATATTAGAAAATGTTACTGGTAAAAGCGTTGTCAAACACTGAATACCTGTGTCACATCATCATTGGTGAGACCGACGTGATCTGGTACACCTAATTGAAACTGTGAGTCTGTTCCTTTTTGGGATTTTTATATATCATTGCCTTATTTTTTAATTTTTTAAACATTGTGATTTTTTTTCGTATTTTTTCTTGGATATATATATTTTCCCGTCGTTCATTATCGTACTTCATATTTCATCATGACTGAACAGACACCCAAAGTACTCAAGCTTAAGACTTTGTCCCCGCCTTCGTTTCAACTCATGCCTTTCTGGCCCGACAATATCGAAGCCTGGTTCTGTTACGCAGAAGCCGACTTCCACGAGCACGGTGTGAACGACACACGTGCACAGTTCCTCGCAGTAGTCAAGGCACTGCCGCGCGAATTCAACAGGCACGTAACACCTAGTATGTTTACTAGTGATGTTTCTGAACCTTACGAAACCTTAAAACGTTCGATTCTTAAACGAGGTGACCTAACCGATCGACAAAGGTTAGATCAACTCTTTAATAACATAGACCTGCAGCACGGTTCTGCGACGGACATGTTGCAAAGAGTGAGAGAGGTTATAGGCCCAAGAACTTTCGGCGAAGGTCTATTCAAACAACTCTTCTTGTCTAAACTGCCCCAATAGGTGCAAGCGGTTCTGGTCTCGTTTCAAAACAACGCCTTAGACGAACTGGCTGCATCTGCCGACCGCATTTTAGAAATTACGAAATCTTCTACTACCGAGGTATTTTCAGTCAAAGAAAAGCCTCAAACGACTCAGAATGACATAACCGAGTTATGTCATACACTCACGTGTTATCTTAATCTTCGTAACGACCGTAAGAGATCGCGCTCCCCACGTAGAAGCATTTCACGTAAGCGATCTGTCTCTAGACCACGAGAGACAGATAACCCCGACTGGTGCTGGTATCATAACCAGTATGGAAAGTCTTCCAGAAATTGCAGAAAACCCTGCAATTTTCCTAACACGAAACCGACTGACTCGAAAAACAACTCGGGAAACTTCCAAGCCGGCACGCGTTAACGGCAACCGTAGCCGGCGAACATAGCCGTCTGTTATGCTTCACAGATGTGACAACGAGAGTTCGCTACCTCGTCGACACTGGCGCAGAAGTTAGCGTTCTCCCAGCGAATTCCAACGACCGACTTCACGAATCGACCCTAAATTTACAGGCGGCAAACGGAAAACCGATAGCTACGTATGGCAAAATGTACGTTTACCTTAACGTGGGTTTACGCAAACCCATTCACTGGATTTTCGTTGTTGCAGATGTTTCTATGCCAATTATTGGTATGGACCTTCTACAACACCATTATCTAATCATCGATACTCGCAAACGGAGGCTTGTAGACGGAGACACTAATTTATCCGTTTGCGTAACTTCTTTTTCTGGTTGCAAATTATCCCTAGTCACAATTAAACATACGATAGACCCATTTTATCAACCACTACTCGATAAGTATCCTGGGATTCAGCAAACGCAACTGAAACTACCGTGTGTAACCAGCAACGTTACACATCACATCACGACTACAGGACCACCTGTATTCTCTAAAGCACGACGACTAGCTCCTGAAAAGCTAAGGTTGGAGAAAAACGAATTCGATCACATGATAGACTTAGGAATCATACGACCGTCAAATAGCCCACATGCATCTCCGTTACACATGGACAGCAACGATCGGCGTCGAACTGGTGACTATCGGCGATTGAATGCAAAAGTCATTCCCAATCGTTTCCCGTTGCCTCACATTCACGATTTGACAGCTACCTTGAAAGGTACAACTGTCTTTTCGAAAATTGGCTTGGTTAAAGCGTATAACCAAATCCCTATGGCCACTGACGACATACCGAAAACAGCTATCATAACTCCTTTCGGACTCTATGAATTTTTGCGAATGCCTTTCGGTCTAAGGAACGCTGCTCAAACATTCCAAAGATTCATAAACGACGATTTTCGAGGTCT